TACTATTAAACCACCACACACAATCATTTACAATAATCATGTATTTAATTTTATATGAGATTACAAATATAACATAATACATCAACATTTACTCATTTCAAAAGTTTTAATGGAGCCTACAGTGCATTACCTGACCAAATAGAGATACGTCATTGGAAACCAACACATTGGTTGAATGTGAGTCATTTAATTGTATGCGTAACAGTTATAAATGATATGACATTTAAAAACAACGAATGCATATGGAAATATTCGTAAAATTAACATTTAAAAGGGACTGAACAATATTCATCTTAAATCATTATTCATTCCTCACGTGTGCCTCAAATTCACATGTGTATTCGATAACATTAAGATTCGAGAATTTTATATTAAAGATGGAGCACTGTTATCGTTCTTGATAACTCGATTGAAAACAAACACACACGTTGCTTTACTGCAGCAATATTTATAACTCACGTCCCGGTATAGCACGAAGTCGGCTAGACCAAGCCAGCACTAGCACACACTGCCTACCGATCAGCAGAAGAGATTTCTAAATATTTGTAACAGCCAACAGAACAGCAAAACTTTGAATATAACTATGAAGTAAAGGATTAGAAACTTTCAAAGATAAAGAAGATATTTGCTCAATACATTGAACTAACATTTCTTTAATTATTTAAATCTATTTCATATCACTCTCATCACTTTCATATCAATCTATTTCATATCACATATCAATCTATTTCATTTCATTTCACTTTTTGAAGCACAAATAATGTTTTATAAAACACATAAATATGGTACATAGTTGGCACAAGTTCAGCGAACAAAGCTTCGGATTCCCCTGAGTCTGCCTTTCTTGACGGAGAAGCTTTCGTGGCGGTCGCGAAGTTTCGCCGCCTTTCGGTTGTCTTCGGATTGTGCGCTGCCAAGGAGAGCGGCGCCACAGGCCATACGAGTATATTCGTGGTATTTTTCCTTCTTGCCTCATCCCAGGCCGCTCGGGGGTTCTCTAAGGCTTACTGAACCTTCTAACCCACTGCGCGCAGGTATGACGTGGTGCATCAGACCTTCGCGCTGTCAACTGAATATTTGATCGAATTCATAGCGGAAAAGATCCACTAAAAATTAAAAAAAACACTTATTAACTCTTCACTCAACTGAAGCAAACAATTCTGATCTCATCGAATTTTATAGTTCATTGATCCACTGAACAACTGAACCCCCTGCACAGAGCCACGAGGAGTGAACGGAATTTGTACCCAAGATCCTGAGATGTAAAAACACCGCGCTGGCAGCTACGCCAATTTAGATCGCTTGATTCATAAATTCGTTGATGTTTCCGGGCACGTCAACGGCTTCGTCCGTTAGTTCCGGAAATGTTTTATTCCAGTAGGTGGTGGTGTTTCTCCCTCATGAATAGTGAGATCCGGCGCAGGTCTACACGTCACCTGTGGAGGTTTGTCCTCCCAGCGATGACACAGCTGGGACAAGGTTTGAGATCATCAGTGGTCTCCCTACATGTACGGTAGTGTGGTGCAAGTAAGGGCCAGAATGTTTTTAAGAAGAGGTGATATGACAAGGAACAGGAAGGGAAGAACGCGCGCAGTCCGGGTCCGTTTGTTAGGGCTTTGATCTGACATTCGTCTGGTACTGATAGCAGAAACCAAGAAAAACTATCGATCACAACAGCAAGCCGGTAGGATTCTCCTCCAAACAGGGGCTGAATTCGACCTAGCTAGGGAGCTAGCATAAAAAGGTCGTCACAATCAAGACTCGAAGCCTAGGTCAACCGATCAAAGACGCTGCAATACTGGCTCTAAACTAAACTCATCCGATTTAACGTTGGAGTATTCTTAAGCAAAATAATGAAACGAGGGGCGCAGATAGCTCCAGCAAGACTAACCTCAGTGCTGGTACGGTAAGCGGCATCGCAAACGATGTACAG